TCCTACTTTTTCATCGCATTCCGTCGATCGGTCGGGCCTTGTTGGTATCTGTTGTTGGCATTTGTCTTTGCTCCAAGTTCCCATAAGCTGTAGAGGTTAGGGCTAGTTGCATTTAGTTTCATGGTTCCAGCGCTGTTCATGCTTAGCCTTGCCTCGCGAAAGGGTATTCTCACCCCGACTCAGCTGGACTGGACGGCAGTTTCGACCTCGCTCAAGCTCGTCTCATCAGCATCCCCACCCGGAATCGGGCCCGAGTTGTGCTGGTGCAGCATACAATTTCGACAGGTTGCCACAACCCCAGATTGCCGAGGGTACCAGTAGATCACAGGGCAACATAATTCTAAGGGCAAACCAAGCTTCTCTCATTTACCATTTTGTAGAAAGCTTGATAATAGGGCTTGTTGTTTTTTACAAGATGGTTTTCATAAGATAAGATATAAGATAAATTGGGTGTGCTCACTCTATTTCGTTTGGGTTGATGAAGTACTGGTAGTTGTATTTTCACATAATCAAATGAGTAGACCTTACGCTTTCATTCAATTTATTCTAGCCTTGAGACTACCTTTTGGGTAGTCACGCTAACCGAAATAGGGTCAACACATCTCATAAACTTACATTCACGTTAGTTATATTCAGGTCAAGTAGGTTTCGCAACTACATGTAACTCTCGAATGAGGTTTCTCCACAATTAGATGAGCGGGAAGGCTTGCATTTCCAGATTGGCCAAGTCCCCTACACGTCACATTTTATGGTGGAATTATGGATGAAGCAAACTTTTATTGAAGATATGAAGACCGAGATCTTGTCGCAGTCTCCTTTCGATGTATAGAAGTGGGCTGACCTCATTGTCGCAACTTGGTCTTGTTGTCAGGGTGACTATGTAGTTCGAAGTCGTCTGCCATAATAGTTGTCATGATTCCCAGCATCAGACAGTGGACTTGGTATATTCCCAAACGTTTCGCCGGCATCGTAGTCGGCATCATCAGCGAGTGAGCTGCGAACTCGTCAAAGAGACGCTTGGTGCAGAGAAGGACAGCACTGACTGATGATGCCGACAAAACGTTTGAGAATGTACCAAGTCGACTGTCTGATGCTGGGAATCAAGACAACTATTGTGGCAGACGACTTCTGACTATGTGTGTTCTACTAAATCGTCCTGACAACAAGACCAAGTTGCGACAACGAGGTCAATCCACTTTAAACTTTTATTGTTATTACATTTGGCTGCACTACTTATATTCTGTTTAAGTAGGTGCCATAACTACCAGTATATCTTAAATAGGAGAGTGCTTCAGGCTGGGTCGCATAAGGTGCTGCACGACAACTGGTAGCTGAATTCTATTGCACAATCACACATGTGCAGGCTTCACGATGAGAATACTCCTTGAGAGGCAAGACTAGGCGAAATCCAATGACATTCTCAGACCTGATTGTTGGGAAAATGAAACTAGCAGAGATGAATAGAGCTTGTAAACAAGATCTATTGGCCGGTTTGACACCTACTCAATGTGGCCTTTTCCCGAAACGGATCGGGATGACTTGCCAATGGCTTACTTACTTGAGAATTGCTGATTGTCTCAAAAAAGGCCACTCCGTCGACCCACAGAACATCTACCTCTGCTTCGTCGGCCCGAGGCCCATCTTGTCTGCCCTCCCCTCTCCGACAGGACGCAGTGAAAGTCCGGTTTCCCGAAACCGCGTTTTCTGTCTTGTGGACCTTTCGACGCCCCCTGGCGAAGCTGCCAGACACCCGGCAACCGGGCTCTGCCCGAATCTCGTCATCATCTCTTGCCGGCACCAATTGATGCTACAATCCCCAGGTGACAGGTAGACTCTAAGTTGTCTGGGAAAACAAAGTGATGTGGGATTTTCGGCTGCATCTGGTTGGCCCTGAAATGACTTTGTGTGGACGGTAGAGGCCTGATGTGGATGTAGGCGAGAGACCAGTCTCATCTTTACAACCATATTTGCGGCATATTTGACCTCAAACTCAACTTTTTGTACACGCGTACGTCTGAGGCCCGTAGGAGAGAGAAAGAGAAAGAGAGAGAGAACGACTTATATAATAAGAATCAGGGAGCATGAGAGAAGGAGAGAAGATTGAAGACGAGGGGGCGACGCTTGAAGATGCTAATTTTCGAGTGGTGCAAAGGCTATGAGAATGTGAGATTGTTAAATGAGATATTTTGAAACTGGACGATTGAAGGGGTGGTACATTGAGGAATTTAGTAATGTCAATGATTGATTGATTGATTTTATGTATTATGAGCTTGAGTGATTGAAGCATTTAGGCGCGAATATATTTAGCAATTTTCATGGATGAATGATTGAGTGGCTGAGACTTAAAAATCATCAAATTGACAGACAAAGTCAAAAAAATT